AACCCTAAACCCCTAAACCCCTTAGATAGGAAGATCGTATGAGAAGTCGTCGAAAGAACCGTGAGCCCTAAACCCAAACCCTCAAAGCCCTAAATCCTCACCAAAAACCTTCGCAAGACGGTTGAGAGGCCTGACTCATATCTGCACACTTTTCTGGCCGGCGCCTGTGCAGGCGCGTATAGCACTTGGGTTTCGATCAGAGCACAGCAGCATGACACGGCTTCCAGAGTTGGTAGTTATAGGCAGCGGCGCCCCTCGCAGTAGGTGTTACACTTTCAGTCCGGCCAAGGTCATTGGCGGGTCAATGGTGGAGGGCAGGGGTCCGGGGGGGGGGGGGGGGGGGTAAGAACATCCGTGTGCCTCTGGACATGCAAAGTTCTCGGCATTGACAGTACTTTCACTTAACTTCTGCAACAAGCGAAATGCCTGGTATTTCCAACGTTTTCTGCACGTTCGCATTGTTTTGGGTACGCCGCCCAATTGACTGCGCAAGACCAAAACCGTGGGTAACTACGGCGTTGCCGTTATCTCTGCCTACACTCTCCTCCCTCGTTGCATGTTTTGGTCACCGGGGTCCATAACGCCAGTTGTTGCGTTGTTTTAATTGTTTTCTGATGAGGGAGGGGGTCTTCAGGCTCGAAGATGCCAGTATTTACGGTATTTGGCAAGCGAGGCTTTTTCCCGGAGACGCGAAGTGGCTGCTATTTACGAGACTTTCCGTGACTGACCGTTTCGTGCGTGGCAGACACTCTGGGCAAAGACAGCAAACTCAATGGTAGTTGCAGCACTTTCGGCACCTTGCCTTACGATCGACTCTGGATTTATGCCTCTCCAGACAGAGACATGTCTGCGGCCCGACACCCTACTATAGAAGTGGACAGGCACCTCCACAGGGGTTGCTTCCAGTTTAGATAGCTACGCTACTACAGTTTATATATGATCATATATACGACTACTGACATGGAACACATAATCCGTCATATCGATTCGTTGTGGTCCACACCGCATGGCAAGTTTTGGGCCCAGTTTTGACGAGCGGACAAGGGGAATCCGACTTTTTGTTTAAAGCAAAGAAGCATTGCTATGGCTTCAGAAAGTCTCGGTGCAATGTGATTTCTGCCCAGTGCTCAATATGTCAAAGTGATGAACTCAATAAGGCGCGGGGTAAACGGCGGGAGTAACTATGACTCTCATAAGGTAGCCAAATGCCTCGTCATCTACCTATAGTCTCCATTGTAGTTCCTTTTTGGGGATACCTTATAAAATCCTTAATATATAATTGGTTAAACCAAAAAAAGGAACTACAATGGAGACTACAGGTAATAGTAGATGACAGAGTGCTGATGTTTCCCCAGGGAGGGGCATCGTCTGAAATCCACCTGACTCATGCCTTGTGTGGAACCGCGTTTTCCAAAATCGCTGACACTTCTGTGGCGGCGAGGGGCGGCGATTCCTAGTTAACTATGCCGTGATTATTTGTTTTTACTATTCAAATTCACTCTGTTGCTCCTCTTATGGCTATGTATTCTCCCCCTTAGTATCCATAGAGCACTATAGCTATGTGGGCAGATTTTTAAACATTATAGTTGTTGTTGCCATTCAGCAAAAGGTTATTGCTGTTATTCCTACTCATTTCGTTACAAGTGTTCCTCAACTGCTTTTCCACACAGGGGCTCTGGCCTAGCAGTAGCGAAAGGAACACTGCTAGCACGACTACTTCGAGCAGTAAGCCGGGAAGTACTTGTCATAACAGTCAGGAAAGTGGCGATACTGATAGCAACTGGCAGCAATAGCCCTAAACCCTAAACCCTAAACCCGAAACCCTAAATAGCCATGATGATGCTAAGAAGTCCCTGGCAAGCTGAAGTCCGGCTGTGGAAGTGGGCCCGAGCTTTTTTTTGCGTTCTCCAAAATTTGCATCCCTCTAAACCTTCACATTTGCCTCAGTGCTTCGCGCAACAACATAGCCCCATCCCAAGGGACCCAAACCCCCCTCAGCTCCTGGTACCAACGCCTTAGAAAAACATCCCTGAACCCATAGCCTTGCCTCGAAATC